TTTTTTTTTTCTTTTTTTTCGGAGAGAAGACAAGAACTAGTACATATTAGATAACTAAGCTTCAAACAAACCACAGTCAAGTCTACGCACATAAGTTCATCACGAATATAAAGAATTCATATAATTGCTTCAATTCAATGTTCAAAAGAGAGTATCAACAAAAATGATCGTGGTTTGTAACTTGGTTAATTGAAAGAAAAGGCTAAAGCTCAAACTTGGCTCACTAGGGGTCTATGTAAAAGGTAGGCTTCCAAGAAAAAGGGTAAAAACAAAGGGCTAATCCTAATACCCTTATTAAGATATCGTGCATCCAAATTCATCAAAGGTAAACAAAGACGTGCATACCAAAGCAAGTTCTAGAAAAACCGACTAGTCATGACAACACACAATCAAAGAAAAGGAGCATGATATTCAATATATGCTCATAGGCTCAAATCTCACCAAAAACAAGGTAATATGTGTCGAATGACATGCATTCGTCCGTCAATTAATCATCAAGAGCAATCAATCACTAAGTAGCAACAAGAACTCCAAAATCATTTTCACATGCAAATAAAATCAATTTTTCACCGGATTGGCACCAAACGATTCGAGAATAACCACAAGAAAAACAATGAAATAAGACTTAATACCTAAGATAATAAATAATCTCGGAAAAACATCTCAACAATATTATTGACGACCAAAGATAGATATATAAGGATACGCTAAATCAAACATCGCAAATGACAACCCACCCACTTAAAAATAGACATTGTCCTTTATGGCCCAACTCAATGCTCAAGCAAAATATAGAAAATAAGCACAAGAGAAGTAGAAAACTCCCCTGATGGCGTAGAGCATCCGGTTGCATTTTTCAACGATTCGAGCATTGTATGCAGCCGTGGAACTTCATTTATTTAGGCTGGAACTCTGATGAGTGACGGGTTGAAGTCGTTTTCTTTAGACCCTCGATATGTCGGCTCGGAAGGTCGGACACATAGATGAACAACAAGCCTCAAAAGTTTGGACTCT